CCCCCCCCCCATGTGTCGTGAGAACCGCGTACAAGTCCATGAAAGTTTTTGGCGGGTAAGATGATAACTCGGGAACCAGAAAAACTAGAAAGCTAAAATTTGATGTTTTTCTGGCAGTCCTGATGTTCAGTCTCAGTTCTTTTAGTTAGAAGCATTTGCTGAAAAAAATAGTGCCGTTAGCGATAAAAACTTGCGGGGAACTGTGCAAAAAACGCATCTTCGCACCAGCAATCGGTGCGCTAGTCAATTATTTTATTTGGTGGTGACCAAGTTGGCGAAAGTTTGGGGAAAGGAAAGAGGGGCATCACACGTGCGGTGGGTTGCTACAACCGAATTTCTGAAAAACACATTTCTGGAATCATTTTGCGAACTTAGAAAGTAAAAAACAAGGTATAGGGGCTGCATATTATTGAGGTTTCATGCTAACTGAAACATTTCAGATAAGCACTGCTGTAGAAATAGATTGGTCGATGAAGAAATAGACGATGAGGAGCAACCGCAAAAGAAAATGCGAGCATTACGTGGCATGCCTTTGAGCACTCGGAGCCGTATCATAATCCACAAGGTGAGAGCTATTAATGCAGCCAAATCCATCCCCCGGGTAAGCGTGGTGCCTGTGTACAGGCCCGCCAAAATTTTTTTCGGGTAAGTTCATAACTCAGGGGTCTGAGAAGCTAAAGGGCTGTAATTTTAAGAGTATATTCCCCGTTCACCTAAGTCTCCATTGAGCTTAAACCCAGACTCCGGGTACGCGTGGTACCCACATACGGGCCAGTAAAATTTTTTTTGGGTAAGTTGCTAACTCAGAAGCTAGGAAAGCTAGAAAGCTGAAATTTTAAGGGGGTGTTTCCTAACAGTTCTGGCGGCAGTTCTAGCTAGAAGCATTTGCCGAAAAAAATCGGTGCCGGTAGCGACAAAAACTGCGGGGAACCATCCAAAAAACGCATCTTCGCGCGGGCAGCCCGTGCGTTGACCAATTATTTTACTTTGACTAAGATAATACATTATTCAGAATTTGATCTAGCTTTCGTCAAATAACCGCCCTGAAGATACGACTAAACATTGCTGCTTTGTTTCAGAACACTCCGATTGCGAGCACTGCACATTGTGCCTGTGCCGAGCAGCCTGAAAGGCCAGTTTTGCATTTCGTTTGTTTTTTTTTGAGTCTTTACTACATTTTAATTTTAATTTTATTTGGTATATGTTTATGAAAGATGTAAGGAAATAAAAAAGGAAAATGTGAATAAGATAAGATTAAAATCTGAATAGGAATGTTTCGGTCCGAATAGGGACGTGGTGGTGTTTATGTGCAGCATAACCACTGAATTAGCTGCTTCTTATCTTCTTCACAAGCAAGTTTTCAGACGAACACTGATGAAGAAGACTATGCGCAGTACTACGGCAAATGGTAATGTGCAGAGTGGCGGACGTCATAATGATTTGACCGAAATAGGTTTGTTGTTAAAAAGAGGATTCATCCTCAGCGAGAGATTAAATGATAAGTAGCGACCATTAGAAAGCCGAATCATAAGTGAACGGTCCAAGCGGAGCAGCCGGAATGGGTTAAATTGACAAATAATCGGCAACTTTTGGTTGGCCGAATGTAATTTCTGAAGCAAATGGCCAGTCCAAACCGTGAATAATAATCCATAAATTTAATGTAAGGTTGAATTTGTTAATAGGTTATGAAATCACTCCCCTGCTCAAGGGTGGATCGAAGCATAGAGGAGGGAAGTGGAGGGAAG